TAAATTTCTGTCTAGTAAAACGTATATAAAACGTTTGCTGATCAATTTCCTTTTATTTCCTCATGTCTGTCTAGTAAAACATGTAATGAACTTTTGTTATCAATTTCCGATTTTGTTTTAAATAAAGTAAGAATTTAGGTAAAGTCTCTTGTACATGAAAGAGTACTTATATAGCTGACAGAATAAATACAAATAAAAAATAAAAAAATTTCAATTACATTTATCTCTTTGCCTCTCTTTTTTATCATAAAACAAAAGCTTTCATCTTAAATTAATTTTTTATCTCAACATTGAATAGAAATCAACCAAAATAATACTACTAACAACCTCTCTCACAAACTTTTTTTCACAACCTAACATTTAGTTCGTATGTCTGTTCCAATGATGTCTTACTAATTATTTAAACTAACAATTGCGAACTGTCAGATCATGATTATGAAAATGATTGTTGCTTTAGTATTACCACCACCTTAGCAAATTCGAAACAAATCCACAAGACAATAAATCATTTAGTGATATAAAGGTGTATTATGATACTGTGGTTAAAATAATGGATGCTTTTTGTTTTCTATTCATATTTTTTTATTAATTATTTATAATTGTATGCTGTTTCATTTCTCGCTTTTCATTTATTTTTTTTTATCCTGTAGAATGTGCAGACAGCATGGGTTAGATTTTTTTCATTTTTGTTTTCACTTACACAAAAGGTGGTGTTAATGCTTAATTTTGAGCACCAACAACTCGCACGTGTAAAGTGCTAAGAGAGTTTTAGAAATTACATATGTCGTCCATGAGATTTGAATTGGTACTGAGATATATATATTTGCAAACAGAAATAAAATAGACACAGAAAGGTTTTTATAGTGGTTCGAATGCTTAAAGCAAATTCTACATCCACTGTTATTTTATTATTCTCTGACTATTTTATGATATTGCTTGTAAGCATACAAAGATGAAAAAATACTTTGTTTTACAGAGAGAATTAATGAAGCTCAAATATATGCCAGCTCTCATATGTCCAACTTTCTCTTTTCATGAAGAGAGGTATTCATTTATACACCTTTTAGGTCAATGTAATGAGTGCTTCTGCAAATTGTCATGACACGTGGGAACCACTCTTTAATCCTTATCTTTTTATTTTGATAAAGTTGGGACTGTTGTCCTCATCCACTCATAGATAAAACTTGAATCTGTTGGGTTTGTGACAACTGTTCTTTTCTGTCTTGGGACGATGTGACAACTCCTGACGGTAATAAACCTTCATAAACTCTGATTGATTGGTGGTGACATCAGTGCGATTTTTTAGACACAATAAATGGTACATGTACAAGTACAACTACTATAGTACTGCACTTTTGGAGAACACTTTCGGGAAACATAAAATAATGAACAAGATTGAAACTAAACTCTTTCCCGCCTGTACCAAATCCTCATACTAAAATCAGATTTCCCCACATGAATTTGAATGAGAATCAATAAACACATTATATAATTATCAAACTCTCAACGCCCACAAAGTAAATACCTCTAGCGTACGTTCATCCCTGTTTTAAAAATCGGCCCAAACCGCCCGGTCGAACCGGGACCCAACAACTTCTCTAAAGTGTGATTAGGCAGGGGAGAGGGCTCCACTTGTGACAAAGACTCACAAATTGGGTAGAGAGAATTAACGAATCTCACAACGGAAACGTATTGGGGATGTTTTAGATTTATAAATGGGGAGAGTCTCTCCACCTAATAGGTTAGCCTTTTAAGTGTGAAACTCCCAACCCGTGACATAAGGTACTCAAGAGCCATAGGACGGTATGGTTGACATAAATTTAAAGGGAAATTGCCTCATAAAACCATGTCTAAAGGCTTAATTTCTTCGACACAACACAAAAACTTTTGGACATGCGGTTGGATATCTTATATTTATTTCCATTCACCTAACTTTCATTTGCTCCCCATTCGCTACGTACAAATTTAAAACTCTCAAACAAATTATTATTCAGATAATCACTTTCCTTATCCCTTATACACCTTAGAATTCTGAATTTCCCAGGGTATATAGTGTTTTTATATATTAATTAATTCCTTGATTGGCACATAGATTTTTTTTTTTTTCTGGTTCATTTGTGACAACCTTCTGCAACTTCATCAGAGAATCTGGACGAAATCCATTAGAGGATGCAAGATTTGGCAGTGGTTCAAGGAATCAAGGTTACGCTTACGCTAATAGAAAAGGCGAAGAGAAATCACAATTTCACATGATAGCAGCCAATAAACCTCGAATGCTGATCAATTATCATGAAAAAGTTTACCCTTAAAATGTAAACTGAAATCATGATCCAATTGTTACTGTCTTTGCTTTTTATATGATTATTCAACAAATTATAATGGAAGTAATATGATATGACTTATGAGTATAAGAGTGAAATTGAATTAAAAAAAAAAAAAAAAAAAAAAAAGTTAGCAAATTAAAACTGATGTATAAAAGCAATTGAATCAAATCAATTCATACCAGGAGTTGTGTATATAACATTATTCAAATGGATGACATGTCAATCTTGAAACAATGTCAATAATTATCTCTTATGGCAAAACCATCAAGTAGGACCATCATTAACTATGCCATTTAAGCATATTCTCAAAATAAAAATGCTATATCCACCGAAAAATTGCACCGAAACACGTGGAGGCCGCCATGTTGGACGATCGAATACTGACATAAATGGACGGCCATCCAACGATTTCGAACGGCCGTCCATACATCCTGGACGATCGTTCATAGTGGAATGGAGGACCGTCCATAAAAAATTGTTTTGTTTAAAAAAAAAAAAACAACGGGCGTCCATTGTTTTTTTGTTTTCTTTTTCGTCTTCGTCATAATCGCAACTGCCCTCTTATCAAATTCCAACGGACCAGCTTTGAGCTTTCTGGCATCTGCATATGGAGACAAATAAGCCCTTTTCTGAAAATGCTTAATCTTACCTCCATATCTATAAACTTTCTTGTACTCGGGAGGAAACTTCAAAGGAAACGGCAAAGTGACCAATCTGACATGGAGGATGAGGATTTGTTTGGGAGTGATTCTGAGAATGGCAGCATAAGTACGCAGTTTGAGCAAGAGGAGACCATGGGAGATTTAGAAGATGCTTTACTTTCATATGATGATGAGATGGAGGTTTGGGAAGTTTGCAGTGGATATAAGGATGCTAATACAACTTGAGGTATTTCAGTTCCAGTACCAACTTTTGCATCCTTATATACACCGCATCAGCAACAGTAGACGCATAAGCTTCTTTAGTGCCAGTTACAGCAGTAGATACTATATACCCAATACTATATTGAATTCGGTTCCTAGCTTCTACTTATCTTACCGGTTTGTTAGCTCTTTTTTTCCTTAGCAAATAAAGAATTCACAGTTGAAGTAGGAATCTCAAAGGAAGTGGAGCAGTTACAAAAAGAAATGTGAGGAAAGATAGGTAGGAAGGACTCCGAACCAAAAAGAGAACCCTTTGCCGCGACTGGGATCATACTTTTGACTGAGGTTTCTTCAGTGGCTGTGAAGTTTCTTCAGCTGGTTTTGTAGCCATGTCGCAAAGAGAGAGAGAGAGAGCATTTAATTAGAGAAGGGACGCCCGTCCAAAAATAAAGGACGGCCGTCCATCCCTTATGGACGGGCGTCCATTACATACGGACGGTCGTCCTTACACAATGGACGGGCGTCCATTCATTGTGGACGGGCGTTCATTCCAAGTTTTTTTAAATTTTTTATTTTATTTACCAATGGACAGGAGTTCATGTTAGTGAACGGTCGTCCATATGTTATGGACGACCGTTCATTAGAAAAAATTTAATAACGTAAAAAGTGTTGATTTGTCTGAGTCAATATACACGTAAGCCGATACAAAATTTCGGTGTAAAAACGTCGGTGTCTGTAGCATTGTTGTACATATAAATACTCGTTGTGTCATCTGTCAACGGATTCGTGAATTTGGTTTTACAATAATTTAACCACTATTAACGGTTTGGTATACTATTACTTTGAAGAGTCAGTGGTCCCCTAATTTTTCAAACTCGAAATATTCAACTAATTTTCTAGGTGTGTTTGTTTCTTTATTTTGGGTAGGATTTTTTAAATCCTACCCAAGATATATATTTGTTCCTTATTATGAAAATCCAATTCTATTATATTTAACTATTACAAACCCCCTAAGTTTGTTAATTTAACTAAACACCCCCAACAAAAAAAAAATTAAAAATTGACAAAAACACCCCCCACCCACCCACCTTTGCCAGATTCCAGCCACCACTGCCAAAAGGTGGCCAGAATCTGGCATAACGGCACACTACCGGTTGGATCTGGTCGATAGTGCGTCAATCTAGCCTTTTTTTACCAGATCCACGGACACTGAAAATGCCAGATCTTTGGCCATAGCTGGTTGTCAACAACGGTCATATCTTTGGTTGTTGTTGACGACCAAATGTGCCCAGATCTGGCTGTCAAAGGTCAGACCTAACGTAGATCGACCGGTCAGATCCAGCTAGTCGTGCGTCATTACAGTCACTTCTGGCCACGGTGATGGCCGACTACTAGCATTTAATGTGTGGGTGGAAGTGTTTTTGTTAATTTTTAAATCCTATCTCGTAATAACCACCCAACTTATTTTTTTTCAAAAATCCGACCCAAAATAATAAAATAAACACACCTAGATACCCTGTCTATGATAGAAAAATTTCTTATTATATCTTCTCAGGAGGTAGTTTCCAATTTAGCCAATTACGAATAACCAACCAACACTCCAAGAAAACGCTTCTAAGTTACAGTAAGGCCTTGCTAGTAGTCAACTGTGTATGATATTTCATAGATACTGCAAGTGTAACGAAATAAATTGTGTAGACATCAAAAGGCCACATAAACAACTATAATTGTTCAAAGAAAAATTTCTCCTGATTTAAGTGAACAATTAAGGAATTTTATTTAAAAAGAGTTTTTAAGCCAACATCAATGAAAATCTGCTAAACTCAAAAAACTAAGGAAATCCATTAGCTACTGGGGTCTGGAGTGTCATTGTGAACAAGTGTTTGACTGATAGGTACATGAATTAGGGTAGTGAGCTGCCATGTTAAGCAAATGAGAGGTTAGTCTTAGCTTGCTACAACATTTAGGTTATCTTTCGTAGGTGATTTATAATTTATAAATGAAATACAAAGAATATTACCTTTGGTAGAGGATCAGGTGACAACTCAGTCTGGTGATAAAGAGCAATGTTTAAGAAATTCCTCCATTCTGTTTGGCCTATCGACCACAACTGCTTAAAAGGACCTCTGCCAACCAAATCATGAATCCATTTTGCCATTCCATGTTGTGTGAGATGCTAAACCAAGTCCAGATGAATTCAAGGTGGGGAATGAGAAATCTCTGCAATCACAATATGACTAGCGTGTCATAGATCTCATCCAACTGCTTCATATTCTACAGTTTTTTGTCTCCTGCAGCCTCCAAGGAAACTACGCCATATAAGGGCATTTGGTGGGAAAGGCATTGTAGCTATTATTTTCTCAGCTTCCTTCAGATGTCCATATGTGGCCAGTAAGTTCACCAAACAATGATAATGATCCATTTCTGGTTCAACCCCATAAGTCCTTTTCATTCGGCCAAACAACTCCATCCCTTCTGTCACTAAGCCACCATGTCTGCAAGCCGTAAGCACTGCAAGGACAGCAACCCTATCGGGCTTAAACCCCAAAATTTCCATCTCTCTAAACTTTTCTAATGCCTGATAAGCAAAACCATTGAGTCCAAGAGCTGAAATTAGAGTGGTCCATGTGATTATGTTTCTATCTGTCATCATTTTAAATATTTCTATTGAACTTCCTATGCTCCCACATTTTCCATACATGTCTATTAACACATTGAACAAAAATGTGTCACAACGATTTATGTCAGCCTTTATGATGAGAGCATGAAGCGAACAGCCCAAAGTAAGGTTGCATAGTTTGGTGCATGCACTCAAGAGGCTAACAAATGTACAATTGTCTGGATGGATATCAGCCAGTTGCATGTATTTAAAAAGTTCAAAAACTTCTGTATAATAACCATTGTGAGCACAAGCTGCAATAGCAGTGTTCCAAGATACTATGTCCGGTTCTTCAAGCAGAGAAAGCAACTTTAGTGCTTCATGATACTGACCCAACCTGTTATAAATTCCAGCAATGATGTTAGAGGGGACAACAGCAATTGGTGAGTTGGAAAGTGTGGCAAGAGCTATGGCATCTGATATAAGACCATTTTTGGCATATGAACTCATAAGGGAGCTCAATACATATTCATTGCTCTGGTATCCCATTCTTATAATCAAACAATGAAGCTGAGAAAGCTCAAAGGTAAATGATGATTTAAGAACATGAGAAAATGTAAACTCATTCGGTTGGTAACCTAGTTGAACCATGTCTAATAGTAAAAACATAGAAGTAGAAGAGAATTTATTTGCATAACCCAATATCAACGAATTCCAACAAACCACATTCTTATCAGATATTTCATCAAACGACAGTTGAGCATCTTCCAAATTATCACATTTCACATAGAAGTCAACTAATGCACTGCCCACAAAAGCATCACATTCTAAACCAATTTTTATTATCTTAGCATGGATAGATTTTCCACACACTGGGATCTGCAGAGCAGCAATAGAATTAATAACATATACAAATGTGGTACCATTTTGAAAATCTTGATCCGAAGACATCCTTAAGAAAAATTCCAATGCCTTTTCAGGTTTTTCGTTCTTTACCAATGCACCAATAATTGTATTCCAAGATACAACATCCCCAACATTCAGCTCGAACATTTTCTCCGCTGAGCTGATGCGCATACATTTCACATACATATTAATAACAGAATTCACAACCAAAACTTCATTGTCAAACCCATTTTTAATCACTAAACCATGTATCTGTTCTCCTGATCCCAAATATTGTTCACAAATAAATCCTGATAAAACACCCACAAAAGAACCTTCAGACAAAGGAATCTTTTCCCTGACAAGATCACGAAAGAAAAATATACAATCTTCAACAAATCCATATCGCCCAAAAATAGATATTATCGAATTCCACGTCACTATGCTCTTCTTAGGCATATCCTCAAATGCACAAACCGCCTCATGCAAGCTCTCATGCCTTCCATATAAACCTAACAAAGCAGTCCCTACAAAAGCATCTGCTATAAACAACCCATTCTTCACAATCAGAGCGTGCAACTGAACTCCCTTGCAAAGGTCCAACAAATCACACGACAATAACCCACCCAACGTGAACTGGGTCGACCTACACCCACAATTTCTCATATCATAAAACAATCTCCAAGCTTCCCCGACATATCCACACCTACTGTAACCACTAATTATGGTATTAAACGACACCACGTTTTTCTCCGGCATCTTGTCGAACACCTTACGTGCTGATGATAGTTCACCGACTGATGCGTAGATAGAGATGACATTGTTGAAAAGGAAGGTAGTTTGGCTAGAGTTTGGACCCAAAGTGATGACAAGTGCATGAAGAGGTTTGGTGTTGCGAAGGGAAGGAGTCTTTGAACAAGATTTTAGTAGTAGTAGTAGACGGTTATGGTGTTTCAAGAAATCTCCGTAAAGGTTCATAAAGGGCGGGAAAATTAGCTATAAATCCCAGCAAATTATAGACAACTTGAATTTACGGGTTACGGCTGATGGGTGAGGCTTGAAAAGTGGTCTTTGCTGAGGATGTCCACCCGTTTTGCAAATAAACCTTTTTCACTTAGGCCTTGGGCCTTGGCGCCATTCAGTTGACTGTAGAGATATTATGACCTCTAGTGGTTGACATACCGTGAGATGAATTTCTTTTAGCAAAATAAATTGGTTTCGTTGACTTTTGTTGATGTGTGATTTTGACACCAACGAAACGCATATGTAAAATATTGAGTTGGCCTAAAAGACACACGTGAATGTAAAGGAAAATGACAGTAAATGCAATGGGGACAGTTTTTAAAGTGGTTCAGATGCTAAGGAAGCAAGTCCTACGTCCACTGATGTTTGTATTATTGATAAGGGTCAGGTCGCTTCAGCTGACTGACTTTACAATGGTAATACAAGGTATCTAATGCTGTCTATTCTAGAGAGAGAGTGTGGCTGGTCAAGAGTAAAAATGTGCGAATCCCCTTAATGAGAGAGGAGCTCTCAACTTATAGTGGGATGCATTGAGGTAATGTTCACTGAATCTGTAAGTTGGTGAGATGATCCGTGCAAATCCTTCTTTATGTCACATTACCCATCTTCAAGAGTAATTCACTTGATTTGCTGCAGGGATTGGACACACGTACATCCTCTAACCTTTCTTTAGTCTGGCGCGTACCCACTGTACTGACAGGAGTGTGTTGCTTGCATCATCACATGATGAGGCTGTGCCAGAATGTCAGTAAACTCTTCCCGATGTCTGACCTTTCGCACTTAACAGGGCACTACATCAGTCGTATTTTCCCAAGCATAACAGAAGTCCCCTAGTTTTTAAGGTTTGAGAATCGAACCTTGGAAACTACAAGTCATGCCGCAATTGGATGATTCTTGGAAATTCTGGAAATTCTAATGATTCCGACTTGTTTTGAAAGTAGGTCAAGACGACACTTTTTTGCGAACACGACCTCGCATGATCATTGTTTGCAGAGGACGAGCGACCTGATTTCGTCAGACGTCTCCTGTTTTGCTTTTGATATGGGTGCATTTAATGAAACAGTCTCTACGCTGACATATGTGCCTTGTGCGTGATAAGTGCCAGCTGGACGCATTAAATGCGTTGTATGCTGACACAGTACGTTTTATCAGAACATTAAATGCGTTATACGTTGGAACGACGCCCCTTATCAGAACATTCAATGTAGATTTGAGACGCAATTAATGCTTTGAGAAAGAGAGATGGCCGTCATTTGAGCTTTTCAACGGGAAAGATGAAGGTTTGACTTTATCCAGTCGTGACACTCACTCTTCCCCGTTGATGTGTGACACGTGGCCATGATCAACGGTGAGAAATCTTTACCGTCCAAACGCCGTTTCGATTCCGAGAAATCCAAACGCCGATTCCTACGCTATAAAACCTCAAATCTTTCTCAGGCAATGTCACTAGAGTCCTTTTCACAGAGAATAAAAGATTTTCGCAAACCTAGAACCTTTGTTTTCCAAACCTGCATTTTTTCGGAATTCAAAGCAGAAGCTATTCTCATACTCTAAGAGGTAAGAACCTTTCTCTGTTTTTGTTTCATTATTTTCCATGATTAAATGGCATCAGTCTTCTGGTAACCAATCGGAGACGAAACGCTTATGTCAGGTTCGAGCCATGAATGGCTGCTCGAATCATGCTGTTAGGGTTTTCTTTGGGATTTAGGGAGTTTGTTCCTCCCACGTCATCGTGCGAAATAGCGTACTGTGGCTAAATGACTCTTCTGCTTGTCGCCTTTGCAGACTGGCAAAATGGACCCCCCAACAACCAGATCCGAGCAGGGAACCGGTTCATTCCCACAGGGTGCTCCAAGTATCCCTCTCGAGGTCTTCTCAGTACTTACCGGGGATGAGCTCGAGAGGGTAATAAAACAATACGGTATCGAGGTGAACGTTTTCCTCGACGTGACACACTCATCGCGATACCCATCAAGTGGCCTGGCCACAATCTCCGAGGAGATCATCAAGGGTGGGGGACTGATCCCCTTCCACCCTTTCATCATGTCACTTTTGGACCACTTCAGGGTCGCGCCGATGTAGCTGACTCCGAATGCGTACGTTATTGTCATTGCAATGTACATCGTGTGCCACGAAAACGGGTTGGGCAAGTTGATCGCGAAGGAGCTCGGCTGCTCGTATTTTTTGAAAAAGAGCAAGGACAAGGACTCTTATTACTTGTCCAGGTGACCTACTATCGCCGAGGGGATACACAGTTACCCGAGCAACGCGGGGGCCTATGAAATGAAGTTTTTCTTCTTCCACTATGACGGCCATTGCCGCTTCCAAGAACCGAGTAGGCCTCTTTTTTTTTTTTTTTTGACAAATTCATTACATTCGAAAATGTGCTCTTTCTAACGACTTGATTCATTTCTAACAGTTAACAAGAAGATCGACTTAGGGCTGCTCTTCGATAGACGTAGGATCGTGCATTTCGGCTCCCTACTTGAGGACATGCGCGACGCGAAGAAACTCGTGACGACCGCGAATTTGAGGAAATACGGTTTCTTCAACGCAAGCGCGTCATTAGAGCCCCCATTGAGTAAGTCCTGCTAACTGGTCCTTTTTTGGTTGTGAATTGGAATACCTTTGCTAACGATGCTTTGCATGCAGCGACTATGCCTCCGAAGCAGTCAGAGCAGCCGCGACAAAGGCCGCTCAATTTCTCTCGGTCAAGAAAAGCCAAGGCGACAGATGGTGCTCTGACCGTTCCCTTATGGAGTAGGTGGTCCCCTGTGAAGCCATATAGAGGGAACGAGGCAGGCTTCAGGTCGGTCTCATCCAAATTCATTCTTTCGAAAGTTGAAGTGAACAGGATGTTCACAGCACTTCCGTTATCCACTAACATTTTCTAGATATTATGGCGCCCTATGAGGGGCATGATCACAAGGGCATCATCGTGAGGATGATGCAGCCAGGTCGCATCTTTTTCGGAGAAGGAAATTTCCTCCTCCCGGTGAACCTTTTGTGGTCGATGTGCCATGCTTATCGTTCTGATGGGCTCATGATGTGCCTCGCGAGCATACCTTTCTTGGGCGCCTCGCGAGTTCCCCGCGAAGTGCGGTCCCCCGAAAATTAAATTGAGGGTGCACACTCCTTTCTGATCGTGACGCTTCTTACTTGGCTCCCCCTGATTTTTCTCTTGTGAAGGAGCAGAGTCATCAATATACTTCTTGAAATGTCCTTGCTTGATGAGGTTTTCGATCGCCTGCTTGAGAGCTCGGCACTCATCGGTATGCTGTCCATTTTCCCGATGGAAGCAATAGTATTTTTTATTATTTCTGGTTGTCGTGGGAGTTTTCATGGGCTTAGGTTCTCCGAGCAGGTTGGCCTCCTCGGATTTATTAAGAATAGCCGATACAGATGCGTTCAGTGCAGTATATTGGTTTCTATCGCGATCGCGACGAGGGACGGGAGCATAGGACTTTTTAGGCTCGTAACAAGGTTTCTTCCCTCTTCGCTGATCGTCAGCGTCTCCCCTGCGATCAGCTCTTCTACTATCCCCCCGACCAGGTGCACTGCCTGAAGCGTCGGGGTTGCGACGGCGGAGTGCCGCCAATGAATTTTCTATCCGGAGGTATTTCTCCACAAGTTTATAGAATCCAGTGAGGGAAACATCGTACTCAGCCTGTAACTCTTTCCACAGGTCGGTTTGTGGATGAACTCCGGCTATGATGAGAGTCCGAACAGACTCTTCGAGAGTATGAGCCACCTTGTCAAGTTCTCTGTGGAAGCGGTCAATGTAAGATTGGAGGGATTCATCCATTTCTTGCCTTATATTGCCAAGGTAGCTCAAAGGCATCGAGAACTTCCGATTTGCTTGAAAATGCCTTAGGAACGTCGCGCTCATCTGAGGCCACGAACTGATTGATCCCGCTGGGAGCAACCTGAACCACTGTTTGGCATGAGAGGTCAAAGTCACTGCCAAACAATGACATTTTGCTAGGCCTGAGACTTGGTGAAGCTCCATCAGGTCGTTAAATTTATATAAATAATCCTGCGAATCAGAATTTCCATCAAATGCTCTCATGTCGGGTATCCTGAATCCTGGTGGGAGTGGAGCGGCTAACATTTCGAGAGAGAAGGGGGACGTAGATGCGACCTGCCCCTGTTCGTTTTGCTGAGCTCTTAGTCTGTCTAGAGCTTGCTGCAGCTCCTCAATTTACGACAATGGAGCTGCTTGGGGGTTGCTTTCACCCATGTGAGTTCGACTCTCGCAGTTACGATTGAGGAAGGTTCGGAGGTCGGGTTCCTCTTCACCTCGGTAGACGGTTTCGGCCACTCTCAACACACGCTAGCTAGAGGCGTGCGATGGCGATGAAAAGTGTGGGGTATTTTCACTACCTTCGTGGTGGTAAGAACCGCCCTGCGAAATGTGGGACCCTCTCGCACGATGACGATCAGGATTGTTCTGCTAGCAGTGATACGAATCGCCCCATCCAGCACTTTTATGGGTGTGCACTTGCGACGTGGCATGGGACAACTCGGGCTGCGTCCTTTCACTGAGTCTCAACGAGACTGGTATTCTGCTTGGGACGCGGTTGGTGTTTGCTGGCCCTTTGGAGCTTGTGGGCTTGTTCTTTGCCACTTGCTTACCCTTTCATCTACGCGCTGCAGTACTCGCGGCACGGGCTATTTCCCTTTGCCGCGCTTTCGCGTGACCTGCAGGCGTTTTTGGCGGTTGCACCGCCGCAGCTGACTTGGATAGCACGCCTTGGTCCAAACGGTCCAACCTTCAGCTGACCGTTTGGAGAGTATTGTCAAACCTCTCCAGGTAGCTTTTGATGGTGGGGTCAAGCTGTGAACTTGACGAGATATCCCCTATAGCATTTTGCGGGGCTGAAGGTTTTTTGGAAGAAGTGTCCCCTTGGACTTAGGGGAGCCACTCGGCGCCCTAGTTGGTTTGCTCAAGCTCTAGTTGGCGGGCCATTTGTTGTTGTAGGACCGGTAAGTTGGAGATTCTCCTGATGAAGGATGAACACTAAATCAGCCCTCCTTCTAGCGCCAAACTGTTGATGCGTGATTTTGACACCAACGAAATGCACGTGTGAAATGTTGAGTTGGCCCAAAAGACACACGTGAATGTAAAGGAAAATGACAATAAATGCAATGGGGACAGTTTTTAAAGTGGTTCAGATGCTAAGGAAGCAAGTTTTACGTCCACTGATGTTTGTATTATTGATAAGGGTCAGGTAGCCTCAGCTGACTGACTTTACAATGGTAATACAAGGTATCTAATGCTGTCTATTCTAGAGAGAGAGAGTGGCTGGTCAAGAGTAAAAATGTGCGAATCCCCTTAATGAGAGAGGAGCTCTCAACTTATAGTGGGATGCATTGAGGTAATGATCACTGAATCTGTAAGTTGGTAGGATGGTCCATGCAAATCCTTCTTTATGTCACATACCCATCTTCAAGAGTAATTCACGTGATTTGCTGCAGGGATTGAACACACGTACATCCTCTAACCTTTCTTCAATCTGGCGCGTACCCACTGTACTGACAGGAGTGTGCTGCTTGCATCATCACACGACGCGGCTGTGCCAGAATGTCAGTAAACTCTTCCCGAGGTCTGACCTTTCGCACTTAACTGGGCGCCACGTCAACCCTATTTTCCCAGGCATAACAACTTTTAATACTAAAATATTCTGACCTCATTTGCATTAACTTTTGGATGTCATTGCATTATAATTTTCTATATTAATATTTCTTGAGTTGATAACAAACTTGTACAAAAAAAAGTGAACATGAGGCCTATATACGACTTGTAAAGTTATAGAACTTTGACTTAATTATGTACATACTGTTATACGGGATATTGTTTAGGACCACTGCCGAGGTTTCAGTTTGAATCAATAAACCCACATGTGTCGAGTACAAGGATAATGTAAGATGCATTCAGCCATATGATAAGGATTTATATATGAGAATGATGATATGGATACTAAATTACTAATTGTTTAAACAACTTCTTCTGATTTTAACATATAATTAAAAGACTATGAAGGGGCTAAAACCAGAACCAGAAATACTTCTACTTGATGTACTTTTTCCTTCTATTGGGTTGAGCCACCGACGTAGAGTACTCAAATGATTTATTATGAGTTGGGCCAAGTGGCCAGAACTTAATCTGAAACTAAATAATATGTATTAAAATGCAAGTGCATTGCCTTTATAGGTCAACTAATATGAAATTGAGAAGTGGCGATCAGTACTTAATTTGATGACCTAATACAGTGGATGATTTCATGCACAGTAAATGAACAAACTCTTAACTGAAAAAGACCGCCTATGAACTTTTTTTTTTTTTTTTGCCCTTTTTTCACAAGTAGAAGTACCTTTTTGAACCAACAATATGATTTGAAATATCTAGGAATAGGTGACGTTACAGATTATTGCATTACTAGAGTTAGCTGGCGATTCAAAATCACAGATAAATTCTGAAAATGGTCATGTTCCACCTCCGTAGCTCATGCATCGATTGAATAGCGCGGCGCTCTGCTAGAAGTTCATTAAAGATAGATTCCTAGTGGTGTTTGGGGTCTGGTCCTCCAGGACTAATTCTCTTGGCGTCACTATAGCTAGGGGCAATGTCTTCATTCCTCATCTTTGCCTTGAGTTCATACGATTTTTCTAGCAGTTCTTGCAGAACTCGGGTTACGTCTTTCTTCTCTGGATGGAGCTGAAGATTTCTAGCTTCAAACCTTGAGAATGTAAACAAAAGCAAAGTGAAACATATGCAGAACTTCAGGCTAGCCATATTCCTCCTGAGGCTCTATAAGCTGTAGCTATATTGTAGATTAGTAATTCAAACTTGGAGAGCTAGCTCCTTATATAGCTATTGATCTTCTTATCTTTTGGATTTATATTCAAACAAAGTGGGAGTCAAATGGTGTATTTAGTTTGTCTTGTTTTGTAGTGCTGCCCATGTCGAGTTCATATCAAGAGAACAATTTTTTGATGGCAGTAGCCAATGTCTAATCACATATGAGCTGTCCAGTTCATTAAATTCTCCAAGGATGAAAATATATATTCCTAGGACTTCAAATTTCAGAAGCACTTTAGTTCAACCCGCATTGTCGTCAGCATTAAGTGTGGGTCTAGTCAGTTGCTAACTTTTGGTTTCGGTGACACTTCTGATGTTTTAAGGGTTGCCCTTCAATGCAACTTTCTCCGCAAATGTTTCCCCTGAGATTCCGAAGGGACAAACACGATTAATTTGGATTCCATAAAGCAAATGCACATTGCCCCCACTCAATAATTTTGCATTATGTCAAATACTTTAGGCTTTTACTGCTGCCAAACAACCGCTGGCTAAGTTAAGTTTTGTTTTCTTGTGTATGGTGCAATGCACTAAACACACAACACAGAGAGATTAGCTAGAAAAAGTTGGATGGATCGGTTTTCCTATATTTCATGCCATGAACAATCACGTTTATTCATTATTGTATAACAGTACAAGAACCGAAAAAAACTGTAAAGCTATGCCTATAGCACACAGTTCACTGTTCAGTACACACTTTTTTTGCTCTCTCTGCACATACAGTTACACAAATAGACACACTCAAAAACTACAACTAAAAGGTGTCTTTTTTTTTTTTTCACAACTACTAGTAGAAATAAATATACCGATTCCAACAGTAATGATGATCTTTATATTTCCGGTATTCTTCTATATATATGTAGCCGCCTGCGGTTTTGCGGAGGCCTCTTGTCTTGTTTATACACATTAGCTACTTATTTACCTGCATATATCCCAGTTGCCAAATAATTCTCTTGTCCTTTTTCATAAATGAAGTCCTTTTCTTTGGATGAGGTCTCCTGTCTGCGTAATCTCTGATGGCCAGCCCGCAGCTTAAATATTTTAAGTAATTTGGTTATCCAAACCAGTTTGGTATCTCCTCAACTTATTGCCACATGGCCATTATCATCATGTTGATAAAGGATTCAGATGATTATACAATAAGGTCTATCTATAATATCCAGTAACAATATTAATTGATATTGTAAGAGCTAAATATTCAAATATTGTTCAACATTAACTTGACTGAAAACACACGATAGATGTATTACATTTAAAGATGACTTTAAAAATGGTTAAGATCATATAAGAAGCCTCACTGTGTTGATCATAAACAGCTGGGCAATACTTAATGTAAAGTGAGATCAATAGTGGATAATGTACAAATGCATGAACATGATGATCCAATCAAGTTGACAAATAAACAGAGTATACGATTAGTGATATATAGCCTTCGGCCCTTGCCTTAATTTATATATTATATGATGCTGATGACATCTGCGAGTGCTAGTTACTGGATAATGAAGTCACTGCAAGAGATAGAGACCGCCATGATCGATGTGTCTGTCATTTTAAATTTTTAATCTCAGGAGCAGCAATTCATCTGAGATTTTAGAGGCTTTAATAAGCCTCTTACTTCCTACTAAGTAGTGCATTATATATTAGAATCCCACTACAACAATTATTCATTATTCTATGCAACTTGTTTTCCAAAGCATCCAAGTCTTCCACTATAAAGTGGTTAACTTTCTTTTTAATGTTTAATCATTCTTTCTGAAATTCTCCATATAACGTCCCTAACACCTCATTCTTCTTCGTGCTCTCCAACACCAGCAGAATCTGAAGATAAAGCCTTCTTTATTGAACTACAAGATATAAATAATATAAACTTAATTATATTCAAACATAATTTGAAATGGTACCACCCTTTGGTTGTCAAGTAGTTGAATAAGGATTCTTAGAGTATT